GCCCGCTGCTCCCCTCAGCAGTGTACTTCGTCGATCTGCCTGTTCTGTTCTCCACTCTGTCTCTGGTGAAGACTCTCACCACCCCTGACTCTCTGGCCTGTTCCCCAGATCTGTATGCACAAATAAATAAATCTAAAAAACAAAACAAACAAACAAAAAAACTGTGGTCCTTCAAATTCATCCTTCCATCCATCCTGGCAAGATCACTTGAGTTGAAAGCAGCAAAGAACTGATGATATGTTAAGACATGTTTGAGCCTTCAGATTTCCTTATGACCTATGAGGCTGATGTATCTACAATGCGCCAAGATATTTTTGTCCTTTGGTGTCTGTTTGTGTATGGCTGAAAAGAGATATTGGCAGTAGGTCAAAGAACAGGATAGTGAGGTTACTCTGCTCCCTCATCAGGTTCCTGCAGGTTGGTTGTGTCTCTCTACCAAAGGCCATCGCACTTGGGGGATGGCTGCCTCCACTTTCTGGAACTGCTCCCTTGTCTTCGGCCTAGACAACAGCATTTTATTTCTAAGCCACAGGGTATTGCACCATCATTCATGGCTCTGTTCAAACCCTCCCACATGTTGCTAAATGACCCCTTTATTATATTTGCCTCAACATCCAATGTTTTCTCTGCTTTTCCCTCCTAGATTCTAACACATAAGTTTGGCAGTAACAGTAATTTAAAGATGTTAATTTAAAGGTAGAGATAAGAAAGAGAGTCTATAAAGTAGAGCTTTAAATTAGAATCACAGGGAGTTTGGGATTCAGCTGTTGTGAAAGCAAATTTCCCTAACTTTCTTGAATGCACTTCCCTGGACTTACCACGGGGGTCATTCTCTGCCTGGCAGGTGAGAAGGCGAGAATGTATATGGGACAACAAACAGCACAGTGCCTGGCACGCAGCAGGTGCGCAGTGGGGAAGCTCTGTCATTACCACGTAAGGGGCTGCTCTGAGCGCCACCTGTGCGCGCTTTCAGTACTGAAGGGAAAAGAGAACAGGAGGGCGCTTCAGGGAAATTATTTCCTGTGTCAGATATTTTAATTGTTTTACCTGAAGCTCTTCCCCTCTCACGTGTCCCGGGGTGTATGGGTAGCTTTGTGAGGTCTGTGTATGGTAATTTGTAGTGCGGGATGGGCTGGACAGCAGACAGGCAAGGCTACATGTGGCCTTCCACGCTGACCATGCGAGAGGGGCTAATGGGGAGGCGCTGAGCTCTAGGAGACAACTTCTCTTTCCCTATTTCTCACTAGTCTGACACAGCCCATCCTACTGGGTCAGAGGCCGGGCAACAGCTCTCCTGCTCCTCCTCAATTCCACATAATCAGCGTGCAGTTTTGTTTTTTTTTTTTAAAGATTTATTTATTTGTGCATATAGAACTGGGGTACAGGCCAGAGGTGCAGAGGTGGCGAGAGGATTCACCAGAGACAGAGCGGGGAGCAGAACAGGCAGATGGACTAAGTACACTGCTGAGGGGAACAGCGGGAGGGTCAGGAGAGGTCTGCCGCGCCATGTGGGTCACCTCCAGTGCCGGGGATCAAACCCGCACTGAAGCGGCTGCGGCTAGCTTGCAGGGCTGCGTCCTAACTCGTTGCGCCACCGGGGAGGGCCTCAGCTTGCAGATTTTAAGAGAAGTAACACATGTAGGGCTTCCTCAGACTGGGCTAGGGTCTAGTGGGAGGCCAGCGGAGCAGGGCAGGTGGGAGGGGCCGGTAGTGAAGAGCAGCGTTTACCTGGGCCTTTCTCCCTCCCACACACCTGCTGCCTGATCCCTCAGCACAGGCAGCTGGGACTAGACGAGGCTCAAAGCAGAGCAGCGGTGTATGGGTGGCACAGAAGGGAAAGGGGGCCCAGATGGGAATAGGTAGGCTCCTTTTCACTTGTCCTCAAGAGTCTACAGCAGGTGCTGTGACTGATGAGGTGCCGTGGCGGGGAGGGTGTGGTTAGTGTAGGGAAAAATCTGGATCCCCATGGTTTCTGTTTGTACACCTCTTTTCTCTAAACGCTGGGAAGTCTGGTTTAGCTTCTCAACACCTGTGGGCAAGGTGGTAAGGGGTTGGTGGAATTTGAGCAATGCTGTCATATTTGGGGGTCATGGCCTACAACTTGACAGAATGGTCAGGTGCCCTAATTCTGGAAGGAAACACTGCACCCAACTGTTACCCCTCCCAAACCCCCCTCCATCACTCCTGTACGAGGGAGTATCTAGACAACCACAGAAATAATGTATAACAAGGCTGAGGGGAAGTGTAAAATGAACATTTTATTACACACAGCAGCATAAATGGGACAAAAGTCAAATCTGGAGTGACAGTCTTCATAGATGCTTAACTTAAACATCCTTTTCTTTTAGTCCTAGATGAGAAATGGGATCGGATGTAGGGAAAAACTGGGGCCCAGTTTATGGGGGATGCAGCAAGGTCAGAGAAGGAGAAGTTGCCAGATGCCAGTGAAAGTCATTTAGTTCAGAGAAGAAATGTCTGTGGTCCCAGACCATTTGGCATGTTTTTTCTGGAAGTGGAGATTCACCCTAGATAGTTAATCAGGAAAGTGAGGAATCTCTCAGGCCCACAAGGCAATAAAAGCCATGAAGGCAAACCCAGCAGCTACACAGCCCCATTTAACCAGAGGGAATTCAGAACCAGCTAGCTCCCGGGGCAGAATTTCCAGGAAGGTAACATAGAGGAAGGTGCCAGCTGCCACCCCCTCTAACACGGCCTGCGCTAAGCCTCGGCCTCCTTCAGCATCTCCTTGAGCCACAGCCAGCCCTACTGCCAGGCCCAGGGGTGACATGAGAGCTAAGGACAGTATGGAGTACACGGCCCAGCGTGTCGGGGTGCCCATCCGCACCAGCCGCAGTCCTACACCAAACACCACCAGCCCCTTGTGAGCGAGCACTGCGAGACAGAGCTGCACAGTGGATGCTACAGTTGGCTGCAGCCCCACAGCGAGCCCTTCAAACACGGAGTGGAAGGAGAGAGACAGCAAGAGGATCAGGGCTCGGAGGGGACCTTGAGACGGCGAGGGTGGCGCCCCGTGGCTGTGGAGCTGAAGGACGTGAGCACCGCCCCACTCCTCCTGCACTGTCGAGCCTTCACTGGTCCCTGGACAGCACTGTAATACCACCGACTCCAGCAGGAAGATTAGGAAGAAGCCCAGGGAGATGACGAGCTCTCCAAAGGGGTACTCCATCTAGGAAGAGAAAGAGGGCTGTGAGGTGAGGACGGGAGGGAAAAGCGCACTGCGTGGACACGGCACGGGAGGCCGAGGAGAATGGGAGGAGGTGGTAACAGGACGTACAAAAGGGTAGGGGGCTGCAGTGCAGAGCAGACACAGACATGCAACAGCACAGCAGCGGGACTGAAGGACACCCAGCAACAGGGCTAGAATATGGGACCTGCCAACAGCAAGTTCCAAAAGGATGCAGAGAAAAAGGAGCCTGTTCCAGTGTCGGTGGGGATGTGATGGTGTCATAGTGGAAAGCGTAAGTCTAGATGTATCTTAAAAAGTTAAAAAGGGAAACACTGTATGATCTGGCAGTCTCATTCTTGGGAAATATCCATAGAACATGAAACCATCAACAAAAAGTCCTTGTGTTCTACAATATTCACAGCAACATTATCTACAACAGCCAAGAGACAGAAGCAGCTGAATTCTCCTTCAGTGAATGGATAGATCAAGATGTGGTACATCTGTCTATACCATGAAGTAGTATACAGCCATAAAAAGGTTGAAAGCCCACCAATTTCAAGAAAATGGTCATTTGAGAGAATTATGTGCAGCAAAATAGTCAGAACCATAAAAATGAATATTGAACAGTCACATAGAAGATAAATTTGACAATGGCAATACAGTTCACAAACTGAAGCACAGTTATATATATTGTGAGGGCTCAGAGGTTAAGAGATGGGGCCAAGGGACAAAGGAACACAAATGATGATGGTGGGGAAAAAACAACCCATGGTACTTTCACTGATCTCCTGCTTTCTTGAAAAACAAAACAAAACAAAACATAGTAATCAATAAGGGGGGGGGCATCAGTATATCACAATCAAGGGGCCCCAAGAAGCAGCATTACAATATCACAGGGGAATAATCGAGAACCAAGTAAAAAACCAATAGCAGGCCAAAGTTAAATTTCTTTTCCCCCAGATCATTCAGAGCAAAATTTGCCAAGCTTAATATTCAAGTGCTATACATCAGTTAAAACTATGTCACATTTTTGTTTGCTTAGTCTTTTGAACATGATTTTCCAAAAAGAGAAAAATGGGAAATAATATCAAACATGTCAAGGTTGAGAGAAAGGACGAAAGAAAAGCAAGAGCTATTTTCTGGAATTCCATCAGCCCAAAGGATTGGGTTGGCTCCTCTTTTCCTCTATGGTTTTTGAGCTGAGGATCAGATGGCTCCTGGTATTCCTCACACACTCCCCTCTTCAAGGAGCTCTGGTTCTCCGTATCTTCCAGGTCAGGATGGTGGGAGATACTTACATGTGCTGAATCAGGATCATCAGCCTGTCCTTTGCTTTCCGTCCTGTTCTAAGGAGAAAAAAAGCAGCAATTCCACAGGGCCAGCACAGCTCAGCCTCCTGTCCTGCGCTCAGCACCACTCCTTTTCTTGAAGCCGGCCCTGACCTGTTGCCATCACCGCACCCCACCTGCGTGCTTGGCCCCATCACTTGCCCCTTCCTTCTCTTGGTTCTGTCTGTCACTGGCTTCACAGCCCTGCAGCTCAGCATTTCTGCCGCTCACCTTCTCCATGAATCTCTGGATCTCTGCCTCAATGCCCTCCAGGGCTTCAGCGGTCATGTGCATAAGCCCTGCTCCCAGGAAAACCCCGGCAGAAATGCAGCCTAGAAGGCTGAGCACTCGGCGGTGGCGACCTAAGACATAGCAGGAGTGAAAACCCATTTGGCCATGAGGAGAGAGATAAAGGGATTAAAGATAAAGACGAAAGGGTTGTAGGCAGCACCCAGCTTGTGGTGGGAGAATGGAGATAGGGTGGCAGGGGTGAAGTCAGACTCACTGCAGGGGAGAGGCCTGCGGGAGGCCTATACCTGTGGCTGCATCGATCTTGAACCATTTGAAGCAGATGGGAATCAGGCCACAGAGCAGAGTGAGGACCAGCAGGGCAAATAGACAGCCAACTTTGACCCCCAGCAGTGGCTCCATCCTTGGGGTGCAGGGTGAGTGGGGGCTTCAGGATGACAAACAGAGTGACAGGCTTTGGAGCAGGAGTTGTGTCTTAGGTGGTCAAGGCTGGAGTGTCAGTTCCCGAGTTTCAGGAGACTGTTGGGCTCCTCTTTCTGCTCGTGCCTCCACAGCCTGCCGTGCTTTCTTGCATAGCTGACTGGGCCCTGCCCTTGCCTGGAGGCCCCTCCCCTGGCTCAAGCCTTCCTAATCTTGGAAACCAGAAACTCCAGACTCCCTGCCAGACACAGCCAGTGCTCTGTCTTCTCCTCCTCTTCAATCCCATGACTAATCCAAGGGCTGTGGACAGTCTTAGTTCATGGCTGGAACTGGCTCAATCCAAAATGGGGCAGTCCATGGTGATGACTTCCCAGTTGCTGGTGGTGGGACACCCTGGGCCTGCCATTCAGGACATTTGATCTAAGCTCTATACCCTCCCCTTTCCACTCCCACCCCAAGTCTCATTGGTGGCTATGCTGATACCTGAACCAGCACCCTTTCAGAGGGGATTTGGGGCCACCTGTGGGTAAGGAGAAGGTGGGGCTGAGAGGTGATGCTGCCACTGTTGAGAAATAGTTGATGAGGGGACTCCCCTTTTCTGTAACCCCAGAAAAATACCTTCAGGCATGGAAATGTCTAGTCGGGAATTGTGACTTCTAGTATTACAACACTGATACTATTACACCTGACTGTAACTGTTTCTGATATATGTGGTGGCAGAAGGCCTGTTTTAAGACAAAGTTATGTCGTTGTAAAGCAGCAAAACCAAAGTGAAACAGAAATGAACCCAGTAAACTGAGATCCTGCCTGGAAAAACAGGGTAGAGATGAAAGCTTCAGTATTGATATGGAGTCACTTTTGAGGGAAATAAATGCATGAGGTAAACCCTGGAGGAGCTGATGGACCCTGAGAAAGTAGAAGGGACGGAAGAAGAAAAGGCCAGGCGGCTGGGGTTGTTCCATACAGGTGGCCCACAAACAGCCCTGGACCTGTTGGGCCAGTTCTCAAGGGAGCTGGGGGTGGCTCTCCAACACCCCAGAAAGGGATTCAGAGCAGCCTTCACTTCGGCATGTACATTATTTTTTGCTGAAGGCAGTTGAGACCCTGAGAGTTTGAGAAACTTTTGTGTTTCCTTTAGCCACCTTGGATTTAGATAGGAAGCCTTGTCCATGAGAGTTATTTTCAGAAATTAGTATTTATGGCCTTATGCATATGGCAGGGTAAACATTTAATTACCAAATACTTGATTTTCTCATGATCCTGTGAGTGACCGGGCTCCCTTTTGAAGGCTTAGGTCCCCAAAACTTGCATTTGCTTAACTGTCCTCGAATCTCATACATGTGGGGTTCCTATAGGTACAAAATTAGTTTTCTTCTGCTAATCTGTTTTGTTAATTTATTAGGCCAACTTAAAGAACCCTGAAGGAAGATTTTCACTTCCCAGCACCACCTGCCTTTCATGGTCATTTGTGGAAGTGCAATATTCTATAGGATAGGATGTGCTTGAGATTTGTGTGGGAAGACAGGCATTGAATCCAGATCCTCTTAATTATAGGGTAGGCCATGACAACTGACCTCCATACCTTTCAGAAATCACAAGATCCATTTTCAGTATTTGAACACTTTATTAAAATCTCTGACATACACGGGTCTGTAGGGGTACCAGCACTCCCACCCTGGATACCAGGTAGCTTCAGCCTTGATAGACATGAGAACATTTTGTTACACAACATTATCAGCTCTTAGGGGATCTTTAGCAGAGGATGGAGAAGGATCAGAGGGAGAGATCACAGGTAAAAGATCTCCCCAGGAGCTCACACGGGCACAGCGGTACAAATCCCTAGGAAAAAAAGAGAGGGTACAGTGGCCTGAGGGTTCTTACCACCTGCCACTCACTTTGTCATGCCCACTATACCTGCCGTGCCGGCGGGCTGTGATCACAGCATGCTGCATGTGCCCGTCTGGACAGCACAAGTGACAATGCACATGGCGTGGCCGTCTTAGGACAGGCTGAGTGATTCGGGGCCAGCGATTACCCTCCTCTGGAGAACCCCGGGCAAGGATTACCATCGAAAACTTTTCTTCTGCTGGCTTCTTGTTCTAAGATAAAGATACAGAAACTTCTTAGAGAAAAGATATGAGAAGATGATTCTGGACTCCCTCTCCTTCAGCTTTTTCATGTTCTATAAGACATGCTCATCCGGGTCCTACAATCTCCAGCCTCGTCCCTGAATTCTCCAGTTCCTTCCGCATCTGACTCTTTTTCTTCCTGTTTTCCCAGGCTGTTTTTTCCTTGCTGCAGTAATGTCAGGATACATACCCAACTGAAGGGGATAGGATGGTAAGCCTGGGAAAAGCTACAGGCCAGGGGCTTAGAAGCTGTCAACTGGGGACAAGGAAGTTCATGAGGACACTGTGAAAGGAGAAAAGACATGAGGTAAGGCAAAAACCCAAGCACCATAAAACTGAAAAACTAAGACTCAGAAAGTCAAGACAGGTTAGGGATAAGGAGCATAGGAACAAGGGGAGGGCCAGCCAGGGGAATCATGAAGAAGCTGACAGGGGAACAAAGGAATGGAGTCACACTGTCAGCCTTCCTGGCCACAGCTAGGTTTAGAGCTTTGTGTGCTGGGACAGGCAGAAGTACTACTCACTGGGGCAAAGACAAAACCAGGTTGAGAATCCAGTGGTGACTTCTCTTTTCCCTGAAATGAAAAACATTAAACTTGGCTTGAGGGGTCTCATCTCATAACTCAATCTCTGCATTCAGTAAACTGAGGAGCCCTTTAACATTCACTTCTAGTTCTTATTAACTATGTTCCTTGAGTTAAGCTGGCTGCTTTCTAATACTCCACACAAAGAACTTTCTTTTTGTAGCAGGAGAAAGGCAGGAACTTGGCACACTGTATGGTAGTTCCTTTGTCAGCAACCTCCACTCTCAAACAAATCCCACTTCAGGACAATTAAATTTATGACTATACACTGGCTCTTACTGTTCCAAAGTGATTAGGTTCTTGGCACAGCAATGCCCCAGATCAGGGTGGGCAAACATTTTATTTTTCCCCAAAGGCAAAGAGTAGGCAAAACTGGCTTATCAAATCTGCCATTTGTAGTATGAAAGCAGTCACAAACAATAGACACACAAGTAAGCGAGGTTCATACAAAAACTGGTATCAGGCTGGATTTGATCCACAGGCCTGATTTTGCCAACCATGACCCTGTATCTGGCCTTTCTACGCCTAGACTTCTGAGTCATCCTTGGCACTGTTTGTCATGCTGCTTTCAAGAGGGCCAGTTGCAGTGAGACAGCGAAGGACTGTACCTTAAGAATCAGGTCCCTAGCATCCATGAGAATACGGTGGCCAGCTTTTGTGCCATTTTCCAGGAGTATCTGTTCACAAAAGGGGAAAGAAAGCAGAAGCCTTGAAAGCCACAAAAGCAGAAGTATCAGCAGCTATGTTACGGCATTCGTAGACAGTGGCAGTATACGGAAATGGGCATTTTACACAAGGTGGGAATGGAGTCCTACGAGAGGGCCAGAGTGGTCAAGAATGAAGTTCCAATGGAGAGAAGGAAACGCATGAAACTGCTTTAAAACTGGAAGGGAAAAAGGAATTGCAACTCACCAGAAAGCGACTTGTCTTGCGCCATAAGGTCTGGACTACCTCAGTGCGCTCAGCCTTGCCGGGCAGTTCGCTCAAGGAGAAGGCTGATACCACCACATCAAATTGCACCTGAGGACCAAAACAAGGAACGTGACAGAGCCGACAGCTCTTGGTCCCAAAAGCACTCAGAGCTCTAACCCCTACGTTTCTTTGCTTTTCTTTGATCTTCTAATATGCAGTGCTGAATTGTAAAAAGCTTTGGCCACAGCTTTCTTTGTGCCAAATTCCACTCAGTGTATGCTAAACATTACTACTTGCCTTGGGTGATACTGGCAGAAACTGTCTGAAAAAGACACCTGGAACATAAGGTTGCCCAGATTCTGAACCACCTGTGGAGGAAAGTGGAGAAACGACAACTGTGAGTGTAGAGGAGTAAACTGAAGTAACATCCTGTTAAGAAACAACCCTGAAAAAAAAAAAATGCTAGGTGAGAATGAGATGTGCCAGAGTAAATAAATACTGAAACGAGCAGGGAAAGTATCTGATCTCCTGTCCTGTTAATTCAAATTACCCATAGCCCAATAAAGACATATACCACTCTCTTGTTGACCATGATGTTAGATTAGACTCTTTAACTTTTAACTCTCTCCTCTACCCCCCAATAAAACTCTTCTAGTAGTCCTGTATTTCTTAATGCCTCTGACTTTGGATAGCCTTTCTTTGAACCTTGTCCTCACCTTTCAGTAGTTTTTCTGCCAAATTCAACATAGCAGCCGAACTGTCCACACACATATATTCATGTAGGCTCTGGCCCCAAGTACTGTGAGCAGCCCTAAAATGACAGAAATAAAATTACCAGTTCTCATGACAAAAGCATCTTTCCTATATCAACTCTATACCTGGGTAAACAGAATGCTATGTTAAAATAGTTGGGAAAACTAATAATGTTGTTTTCTTATTTCATTCATAATTCCTTACAACAAAAGGCAGATTCAAAAAAACAATCTGGTGGCAAAACAAAAGCAATGTAGCCTGATGCTACATAAGACCTATGCCTCACATTAATTTCCTTAAAAAAACAAACAAAAAAAAACCTAGGGTCTTTTTTTTTTGGCTTGACATTTCTTTTAAGGTCATATGCTTTCTCAGGTCTTGTCTAATCTGAGGGAATAAACATTCTAGTTCCCAATTTCCCAGTCTCATGCTTTCCCAGTTTCCTGATACTAGAATGTAGTAACAAGCATGGCTGTCTAGAGCTAGAGCTGGCAGGCAAGGCAGGCAGAAGAAAGATACTCACCAGATGACAGAACCAGTACCCGAGCCAAAGTCCATTAAGGTTTGTGGCTGGAACTCTGGAATTCGAGACTGGATCTAAAGAAATTAATAATACCCATAGTAGGGTAAGTAGATTCTTTTTTAGAACCTGGGTAAATATGAATTAGGGAAATGTAATGTCTTTTGAGATTCAATGTAAATACTTTGTAGACTAGGAAGCTCCTAAAACAGTGATTCTAAACCTTTCTTGAGTCATAAAATCCTTTCAAAGAAAAAATAGTGTCTTAGGGGAAAAAAAGCACACATAATGTCCTAAGAATCCTACCTCAGAATACCACTTAATGAATAAGGGGACTTAGGGTAAAAGAGAGTAAGCTAGAAGTTGAGGAACCGTTACCTCATGGAATGCCCGGGAGACTGCTGCGAAGCCACCATCCAGTCTTGCTGCCATATACACCAGGCTTAGTCCTTCATTGTAGCTGTCAGAAAAATCAGTGTCAAGCTCACTGGGAAATAATTTCTACCCCACAGCTACCTTCTACATTTTTAGAACATGGAATCTTTGGTAAATGCTCTTTTAGCTTAAGAGCATCCACTCAATGCAGAAGAATCCTGGAGACTCATACTAGGGAGTTTTTGCAAACACCATGTTATATAATTGTACTTCCCAACTCCTTCTAAAATCAGTTTTTCTTCTGCAGCCTTTCTAGTCCCCCTTACCTCAATTCTTGCCAGTGATAGGTAGTTTTGCGTAAAGCACGCAGCACTGCTTGATGAAGTTTCTCTTCACTCAAAGATGAGTCTGGGGTGAGAACAAGGACTGGAGGTGAGGACCTAGGAAGAACATGACCCAGATCCAGTATCTGAATATACTGCCTATTCATTCCTCTCTAACTGCCACCTGGGAAAAGCCTCAAATCTTAAGAGAGAAGCCAAACCTAGAGAAGTTTCAGGTAAGAAAGAACTGTGATGACCACAACCACCACTGTCAGAGTGTACTAGTATTTTGCTTTTTTTTTTTTTATTAAAGATTTATTTATTGATGTATTCAAGAACTGAGGTAGCCAGAGGTGTGGGGATTAGAGGATTCACCAGCGACAGAGTGGGAGCAGAACAGGTGGACTGACTGAAAAACACAGTTGAAGGGAGTAGTAGGCAAGACAGGAGAGGTCTGCTGAGCCATGTGGGTCACCTCCCTTGCTGGGGATCAAACTCATGCTGCAGTGGCTGCTGATAGCCTCACAGTGCTGCACTTTAACCCCTTGCACCACTAAGAAGGGCTCAGTATTTTGCCTCCTCCCGTAGTTTATTAAACATAACCAACCCTACCCCACAGCTTCTGTTCTATAATAAAGGGAAGTGGAAAAAAGATTTAAAGACTAGAATAAATATAATGTTTTGTAGATTTCCTCATTTCTCCAAACTTTAAGATTGTGATATCTCTGATGTTTCTCTAGGGAAGAAAAGGACATGAAAATCTAAAGTGTCCTGATTGTTTTCAGTTTACTACTTTATCGACTGAATGTCTACCATGAATTAGGTACTGTGGGAAGTGTGGTGAATGCAAAATGAATAAAAGGCAGGTTTGTAATATGAAGGAGTCCACAACCATGAAAATAGCTGGATTACTTGTACTTATTCTCTCCCTTAAGAGGATTTCAGGAGCCACACAGGGATATCATTTTGTTGGAATAAAAATGTAGATGGGGCCCTCCCTGGTGGCGCAGAGGGTTAAAGCCCAGCACTAAGAAGCTTAAGCCACTTCAGCATGAGTTCGATCCCTGCCTGCACCAGAGGAGATCCACAAGGCGAGACAGACCTCTCCTGACCTGCCCACTGCTCCCCTCAGCAGTGTACTTCGTCAATCTGCCTGTTCTGCTCCCCACTCTGTCTCTGGTGAATCCTCTCACCCTCTGCATCTCTGGCTTGTACCCCAGTTCTGTATGAATAAATAAATAAATCTTAAAAAAAAATGTAGCTGGTTCTAATTCAGTGGACTTGGAGGAAAAAAACCCAAAGAGCTAGATTTTTACAGGATACTAAAACACTGACTTTTACCCGTGCCACAAAGGCAATCTCTGAAATAATCTATTTTATCTTAGCAAGGCATCACTATTACAGCTGCTCTGATCAGAAAGTCAAAAAAGAAACTGCGGTGTCTACTTGGCTGTAGAAGTATTTCTTGCTCTTAATTCTCCACTGATATTTAGCTTGACCTGTGCTTTTCTTAAGCCCTACCTGGGTTTTCCATGAATTTTTTCTCAAGATCTACAGCCCGTCTTCGCAACTCCTCTTGCTCCACCGGTACATGACGGCTCCAGAGATAATTGGTCAGTACTTGCACCTGCTTCTCCACGTTGGGCATCGAGCTCTCTACATGCCAAAGATGAAAACAGTATCCCTCGCATGGGGGCTCGGCCTGCACTGCTCAGGCCTCCTTTCCTACGGTCACTCACCGAGCAGTAGTAACTGCGCCGCATTCACCAAAGCTTGCGGCAGCCGCACGCGAGGCAACTGCAGGATGCCAGGGTGACGGCGATGGGGCCTCTTTCCCAGAAAATCACATTTGTTATCTACTTGGGTTACACCGGGCACGAGCGCGGCGAGCGCCTGCAAGGCAGGAGAGAAAAGTTGGTGCAAAAGGAAAAGTTGCTGGCGCTCGCTAAGGGAGGGGCTGCTGAGGGGTTCCTCCGCGGAGCGGTGCTGTTCCCGAGATCCACAGTCTCTCCCATTGCAGGGAAAGTACACTCACTCGAGCCTGGGGAAGGACTCCAAGACTGCGGCGCCATCTGCCAAACGTCAACAGATACCTCAATCCCCTTACGGTCGCCATGGCGCCGGAAGCAAACCGGAAGCGGAAGTACAGGATGCCCAGCGCCATCAGTCTCACAGGCAACTGCAAACATCCTCCGCTGAACGTTGGCCCGGCGCAGCATCAACCAATGAGGAGAGCGAGTGCTTGCTAGTAGCCAATAATCAGTCGGTATGCAAATCATCTTGTAGGGTAAGCTGTAAATGGGAGGGACTTGGACTACTGGGCGGGTAAACCGGCCGGAAGCGAGGTGACCTCGCGTTTGCTTGGGGGCGTGGCTTCAAGTCCTAAATCTAGGAACAGAACAGTCCAGGTTCGAGACCCCTCTTTTGGGATCTCTAGAAACGCGCCGTGACTGGCAAAGACTATTTCTAGATGCATTAATTAATGACCTTGTTCCTTGATTTTCGTTCTAGATAACTCTGAAGGCTTGGGGTACCATCCCTAACCATTCCCACCACATACCGATGTTGAAAGGTGAGAGTTCATTAATGGATAAATGGCATAAGAAAAGGCAGATAATAAGTGCCCAAAGAAGTAGTAGTTAATGGAGTTACTTTATTTGCGTGTTCGTTTGTCTTCATTATAAACTGTTCCTTTTAGATAAACAGCTGACACTGAGAGCATCGTGTACCACATACGGTGATGACAAGTAACTTTCACATAATCTCATTCAGTCCCTGGAATCTTGTGAGGTAGATTCACTTTTTAACTCATTTGTAGCTGAGGAAAGTGAATCTTAAGTTGGTTAAACATCACGCCCAAGCTCAAAATCACAAAGCTTGTTAAGTGACAAGATTTAAACTCAAGCTGTCTAGGTCTAAACTTCACACACGTTGTGCTACTTGGAATACAAGTTTGACCAGTTAAGAACAATATGATAATTGCTCTAAAGTGTTAATATGCAGCATTAAAAATAATCCTCTATACTGTAACCTAGATTTCTAGCCAAATGCATCAGTTAACTAGGATGTATCTTAACTTTTGGGATAGGAATTGGGTTACTAGGTGGGTATAGTACTGGCTTTGCTAAAACTGCAAGAGTCCAAATATAATTATGGAATAAAATGGTATCAGTTGGAGAGTTTTAATGTGTTTACAGTTGGGTTGTTAAGCCAGGGTACGAGGACAACTTGTAAATGTCCCATTCACTGCTCTCATCCTTTTTAGATTTACATGTCCCCCCTCCTCCAACTTTGATTGATGTTACCACACTCTTGTACTTAGCTAGAAATTCCTGGCTCAAGTATTAATAAAA